GCTTGGGTGGCAGGCACGTTCTCAACTGACCCATTTTTCCAGCCCCTCACTTGGCTTTGGATTTCTTCGCCTTGACTTCTGACTGCTAACCTCTTCCAAGTGTTTTGGTGCTGGGCTCCTCATTTGGGCTGCCTATTTCCAGGTTTTCTCAGAAGTCATGGAGCTCCAAGGACTGCCTGTTGTCTACCACAGACTTATCAGCAACGACTCCATTTTGATTTATGGACTTCCTGGCAATTGTGAAGCATATGTGCATGGCTCCTTGCAGTCCATCTTGTACTCGAGCATTTAAAAAACCTCCCTGACCTTTGAAATGATGGGATTGCTTTTTTACATTTTTTAATTTTTTTAACCACTGCCACTCTCGCCTCTACATTAAGGCATTTTGAAAGTTCAGGAGCTTATTTCTGAGACTGTGTCCATGCTCTGTGTAGTAGATGCAAAGACTTGGAAGGCTTCCTTCCTTTGGGTTAGGATGCTGTGGAGGCTATGGAGAACTCCCCACTCCAATGTGGAGATATGGAGTACACATGATTGGTAGATTTCAGTATCTGTTAGATTAAAATTTCTGAACAGCATTACCACGCTCATGAATTTAGATGATATATTTGTGTTAAGTGACCGAGCAGCTGGAGTTCTAGAGACATGGGGGGATGTGTTGTAATATTGATTGTACATCTGACTTTCCAGGAGGGGGTGGGGGAGCAGCAGCATTAATCAAAAGGGAGCTTAATAAACTCCTTGGGAGAAGGGTTGTGGTTTCATTCTTTAAAAATTCAGTGAAGACAGCTGTAGTTGAACTTTCGTAGGCATTAGTCCAAGTAGACCCCCTGGCAAAGGCAGGAAATTATTCCTTGTATTTTCTAACTAATGTGCCAATTTATTAATTTCTAAGTTCACATAAACCCTTGTGAGCTCAGCTTCACCCAAGAGCTGATCTGGAGAGCACCACCTTGCGAATGCTAGGTTTTAATTTGAGCTCTAGTTGTTCTGTTTGCAAGGAGATAATTGCATATGCTTTCCTTCAAATGAGGAGAGACTTCATGAGTTTAATAAAAACAAAAGCAGTGGAGTTCACTCCTAAAAGATTAAAGCAAAAACCACAAACACACAAAACTCAGAAAAGGCTGAAGGGAGTCACAAATAAATAAACCTCCAATCTGTGATGAGCGGAATCAAATTTCTGCTGCTTTTCTACTAGATATGACTGAATGTTCTGATTCGTCTTCTTACCCAAAGCTAGAGTATTGAGAAAAGAAAATTACCTAAGTTTAACTATGTAGAGTTTCTAGAAATGTGAAAATCCATGAGTCAATGATTTGATACTTAAAAATATTATTATTATTATTATTATTATTATTATTATCTTTTGAGACAGGGTCTCCATGGTGCCTCAACTGGCCTGGAACTCACCATGTAGACCAGGCTGGCCTCAAACTCAGAGATCTGCCTGCCTGCCTGTGCCTCCAGAGTGCTGGGATTAGGGGCGTGTGCCACCACGCCTGGCCCAAATTTTATTATTTTTCTAGTTTTTTATGAGTAGCCCAGCCAGGCCTCCATCTTGTCATCTTCCTGCCTCAGTCTTCTGGGTGCTGGGGTCCATAAGCATGTCCCACCAGCCTAGCTTTACTCTGCATTTTAATATCAGTTATGCCAGAACTTTACAAATCTTGTAAAAAGATGGAATTGGTTCCAAAATGGGGATAGTAAAATTTTACCATATTCTAAAGATCCCTAGTGGAACCAGGGTAACCGACACATACTTTTTCCTTAGCTTAACCAATTTAGCTGTGTAACATATGTAGGATGCATGTGGAAATCTTGAAGGGCAAATTTCTCACTAGGCTCCTGACAGTGGCCACTGGGCACCATCAGAGCCTTTAAGAATTACTTTTGCTATGGAAATATTGAAAGATTCCAAAGGTTCGAGGGTGTTAGCAAAACAACCCTCTGAAACATTCCTGATAGTACTTGAGAGGCGTAGTCATCCTCAGAAGTGTGAAAGTTAATCCACACCTCAAGTAATTTAGCCAATAGCAATATAAATAATTCCTTTTAACAACAGGTTGAGTCAAAGCTTTCCTCTGACTGGTGTAATTTTCATTTGCTTTCTAGTAGGCTTTCTTGAGAGGAAAGTAAAAATGATAACAGGTTTAAGGAATGCATTTAACCACTTATGGATAGGTATTTGTTTTTTGATAGTCTCACTATATAACCCAGGCTGACCTTGAAGTAACGATCTTCCTGCCCTTCCTTCCTGATTGCTGGGATTATGTCTTTGAAGTGGTCACTCCTTTTCAAACAAAGCCACTTTGTCAAATGACAAAAATAGAATGCCAATTCCTTTTGATTATATAACAAAAGTGGATCTGCTTTACTGCCTATTTAGGACAATATTTGAATATAGAAAAATGAACAGGATTTTAGAGTTATGAGCATTTCCTGAGCTGTTCTATTTCTGAACCTTCATTGTCAAGGGATAGCACTTTAGGACTCAGATTGGTCGACAGTCTGCTTAGGATCATTGAGTGTGAGTGGACCAAAGCAGGCAGGGGATGGTGTCTCCTTCCCTCCACCCTTATCTTGCTTTTCTCTGTTGAGATTTTAAGATGCTGCCCTTACACTTAACATAAAGTTCCAAGTTTGTAAATTTAATTACTGAGCAAACTCCATAAACATACGTATATGTATTAGGTTGGATCTCACTGTCAGAACAAAGGCTGACTCTGAACAGACTGACTTTGCCTGGTTCTTGTTTACATTGACAAATGAAGTGTTACAATGAAATATGTCACAGCAACAACCTCACTGTCTTTGAAAGGAGATATGCACATGTCATTTCTAACTTGAAAGAGAAATTTCCAAAGGGAAGTCAGTTTATGTTTAAGGGAACACAGTCCAAAAAGAAAGAAAAAAATGAAAGAAAAAAAGTAGAGTGACCCGTGGTGACTGCTATAATTTAATTCCAAAGCACAGGTTGACAGGAAACTTATAAAGCTTGATTTTTTAAAAGCAGCCTGGCGGTAGCCCTACAGGCTTGTTTCCAAACTTCTGCAGCCCACTTAATGTAAGCTTTGAGTTTCATAATTAGTTTGAAGCAATTTGAAAACAATAGGACTATGAATTTCCCGAATAATATATGAAGTACCAAATATATTTTTGGAGTTATAAGTAACAGAAAATATCATAAATGTATACATTTTTGGTGATACAATATGTAGTGAAACATGCTTTTTAAAAAAGGTTCATTTTTAGTTTTAGTTATGCATATGCTTATGTGTCTGTGGATTGGTATATGCATGTGAGTGCAGTGCCCATAGAGGCCAGAAGAGGACACCAGATCACCTGAAGCGGAAGTTACAAGTGATTGTGAACTGCCTAACATGGGTATTGAGGACAGAACTTGGGTCTTCCGCAAGAGCAATTCATGCTCTTAACTGCTGAGCTCTCTCTCTAGCCCCAAAGCATGTGCTTTTAATCTTGTAGCCATTGTGCAAAGCCCAGTGCTGTTACTGCGCTTACTTGGCAAACTGTCACTGAGTGATACGAAGCTTGGTCTGCTTCTTAGCCTCCCTGGACTGGGTTTTCTAAAAGCATCTTTGGGTTTGAAATTCTGACCTCATAATTGTTTGAAAGTGTTAAATTGAATAACACAAGTAACATAAACACTGATGCATCTGGACCAAAACCTGAGATGTTAGGTGTGTGGGTATGTTAGTGGGACCCTTGTAATTTATTAGTACTTGTTTTTTTGCATTCCTGGTTGCTCTTTTACTAGAACAAGTTTTTTCTTTTGATTTGCAGCTTGACTCTGTACTGTAAAGATGCAAGGCAGCTTTTATCAGAAAGTACATCTTACATAAATCAAATGCTACCTTTGCTGTGCTACATTCAGATGGCCTTATTTCTATCTTGCCATGAAGGTCACGGTACCAAAAATGCTGTTAATTCTTTTGAACTATTCAAGCCACACATGCGGGCATGAAAACAGTGCCCGGCTCAGTTAATGTTAGCTGTGTTTATTTGGAAGGGCAAATAGGTCTACCTTTGGTGCAGTATTTTCTGAGTTTTTTTTTTTAATTTAGGAAATACAAGAGGTTATTTTTAAACTTTCTGGGCCAGTTGAAACTCTGTACTTGGGTAGAAGGCTAAGAGAGAAAGCTAAGTTTAGATCTACTCTACTTTTGCTCAGAAATTGTATGTTTGCGGTTAAACTTCAAGGAACCAAGGGTCTTGAGGGAGGAAAGTGGGTTTCCGCATTAGCTCCACTGCCTATTAGGATTTGCTGCTTTTCACTTTGTTTTCATGCAGAATTGGCTCACTTGCTCACTAGGTGTCACACACCAAGTTGCTAGATCTTAAGAATAAAATGGTAATACGTATGATGACCACACAGTAAAGAAAAATCAGAATAACTGATGTGCTTTTAATTCTTAATCACAAGATGCCTAATTTTGGCAGTCTCTTTGACTGTTCTGATCTTCAGTTTCTCCTTCATCTCAGTACTCTTTATCTGAATATGATGGGGATTTAAAGTTGTAGAAAAAGATCCTTACAAACCTGTGTCTGAGACTTATTTATCAGTACAATAGTTTGTGGGTGGGGTTAGAAATAAATTGGTCATGCCAATGAAATCTTCATTTCACATATATATTGTTAAAATATAAAGCTATCTAAATGTCAAACAAAGAGACTTGGTTAATTATCATCCCTGGGAAAGAATATAAGGAATGGATTAGTGATGATGCTATCATAGAAGTATGCTGGTTCTGTATGGTTAGTGAGCAAAGACAATACAAACCAACATGCATTGACCAGTGTTTTAAAAAGCCAAATTTGGGGAAAAGTTTATAAACTATATCTAAAAAGTATAGTAGAGTTATGAGTAGGTTTCTAAATCTTTTCCTTATTGATATTTTCTCAAGTGTGCTCACAAAATAACCATTAAAATAAGCAAATATTAAAATTTTGTAAAAAGTCATAGGTATAAAAACACTGACCTCCTTCAGCTGAGCAGATGACTACAATCTGACTAAAGGGCCCATCACCTTTATTATTATAGACACCGACTTTCACTTCAAAGGGAGTGAGAGGAGGGACACTTTCATCTCGGTAGATGAACTTGGAAGCCTCAGAGGATGTTACCATCTTTTCCTTCCAGCCACGTGTTCCGTTGGGTCTGAATGCCACGATATAGCCAAAGCCTTCCCCATTCTGGAACTCCTCAGATACTGGCTGAAGAAGGAGAACACAATCAATAATCAGCAAAGTCACTGAAAAACTTCCTCCTAAGGCTTAACTTCTTACAAAGTTGCTGATGACTATGGAAAAGGAGAATTTTAAAACTTTATGCTATACTGGAAGCCAAGCTAACTCACACGCTTTGGCAGTTTGGAGAAACCTAAAAGGCTTTAATGTTAAAAGATGAACAATTAAATTTTATCAGTTGATATCTAAGGAAACTCACAAGAGTATTGAAAACTCTTCAAGTGAAACAAATTTTCTCCAAATTAGTCATGTGTATGAAAGGGCTTTGAATTCTACATTAGAATTGAATGTGTTGGGGAAAGCTGTCATGATCCACTGGTTTTGAGTTTCTCATTGGTAGTAATACTCTATAGAGGAGTCTAACAGAAAATCAGAGAGATTAATGAATGGCCTTTCTTCCAGTGCTTTTTCATTAGTGTCTGTGCTCTAATAATGTATAGAAAACCCCACCCTGGGTTATGGTACTTTTTCAAGAAACTTTCATACTATATGACCTATAATTAAATTTATTGAGTTTCAAATGCATGTTACAGAAAGGAATGTGATTGAGAAGTCAGTGGAGGCAGTTATTGGCCACTCATGAGTAGAGTGCATGGCACATGCCAATAAATGGTTTGTTATGTATTTTTTTTAGCTTGAATTTTTATTTGAAGAGCTATGTATGGACTAGAGACAGAAGGACAAAACCTATTATGTCACTTTTGTGCTGAAGGGAATTCCATTCATAGAGATTTGATCTCAGTGAAGAAGATAAAGGCAAAAAGTTTTATTTACAAAAATGAATAAAAGGAGAGGCCAGATGTTCTGACGGGAACTTTCTCTTCATACTACAGTCCACGCTTTGTTTTTTTCTTTTTTTGTGTGGATGTCTGTGTGTGTATGTGTGTGTCAGGGGGCATTCCAAGATACAGTTCAGTAGTTCAAGTAGCAACAGTTCATAATAAAGTTAGTTAATATCAAAAGACGGTGTTCATGGAAAAGGTGCACTCCTCAGTCTTTTCCCATCCTCACTGTTTTCATTAGGCAAAACATTCTTGGGAAACCATGTGCTTGTGTATGTAATATAATGCAAATTTTAGAATCCAGGTTCTAGGTCTTTTATGAGACAGGTCATTGGAACTTTGTCTCAGTTTCAGTTTATAAAGTGAGGACCTGTCCTTTATAGAAGGATCGTGGTGTGGGTTGAGATAAACCAGGCACTGGCCCATGCACTTGGTAGATTATCTCCTCCCAAGTTCATTAAATTTCCAAAGAAGTCAACATGAGTATGTGGTTGTAAAAATGATCACACATCTAGATACCTGAAGTGACTTGCAAGGGGGAGGGTTTGAATGATTCAAGCTTATTCTTGGACAGCCTGCAGGATGTGAAAGCATAACTTGGGCTTGAAAAAAGTTATCTGGGGCCTTGGGTGAGAATGAGAAAGCTTTGCTTTGGCAATGTCATCTGGGCAATGAATGTCCAGTGTTTCTTCACTGAAACGGAAGCGTGCCCAGTCCCTCTGCACCAGGAGCAGATTCTCTATGTATAGCTTCAGTTTCTAAGCAAATAGCCAGTTCTAGTATCTGTAAAGTAATTCTTTTTACCTCCCAGGCGATAACCAACTCATGCCGTCTTCCACTTCTTCCACTTACATTGGTAGGTGCTGTCTTTGGAACTGTGAATAAAAATGGATTGAGGCTGGAGAGAATAAACAGATCTATAATTTCCTTAGTATATGGCCCCATTATTACACTGCTTAGACTGGGCAAAATTCTTAAATGAGCCAAACATTTGCTTTAAGTAAAAACACTCATATTAAATACTGTGGCAAAATATTTGTGATATCTTGCTTTAAAATTTTATGGGATTTTATATACATATGTATATATATCTCAGCAATATTTTATAGTGAAATGACGATTATGATTAATATCAGAATAAAAGATATCTACTAATGGTTGGGGAAATTCTATTCTTTAAATGACTTGATCTCTTGGTCTATAGGGACTCTGGAGAAGCCACAGGTCCACAGCAGAATTTCCTCTGGAAGCTCTAGCTTAAAAACAACTTAGCCACAATGTTACTGAGTGAAGATCTATGCAAACGAATAAACATTAAAAAAAAAAAAACTGTCAAAGATTAATCTTTCTGAGAACTGGAAAATATAGAGACGCTCAGTATAAGTTTTAAAAATAATAATGATTAAGAGAATAAATGTGTCAAAGGAATAAACTTCCCCTTCACTGCACCAAACCAAAAAAAAAGTCTGCAGTGGAATGGGAACATTTTCAAATGAAGAACTAGCACATGATGAAAACTAGTAAATGAAATCATTTTCTAGGCTATGTGTCCACATTAGCAATTTTACTTTTTATCCAAGCATCAGTTTCTAAATGATATTGATATATTCATAAACAATAAACTCACTGCTGTGTATTACCTGCTCAGATGAAAGACTATTAATTACTGACAGATGTTCATACAACATTTTATGTACTAAAGAATAACTGAAGCAGAATTTTTATAGTACTAGAAGGGAAAAATAAAGAATTCTTCTCATACCAAAGTGGTGGGAAAGAATAGCTTGTAAATACATACTGATCTACAATAAAGTAAATAATTGTTAATGAACCGGACTCCAACTTCAAGTATCCTTAGGCTTTTTTGTCCCCAGATGTGATTTTTAACTTATTCAGGTGAAAATTGTCAAAGAATATATTCAAATAAAAGTTTAAAAAATTCATGTTGATAAGTGATTCACTTGCTGTTCATATTGTTACCAATACAACTGCTTTCAACAGTTACCAATACAGTGCTATGTGGAGTGCAGTACATGATGTGACAGCTGTCAGTCTTTTTCTTTCACCCCACGTGCACGCTACAGATTGTCTACCTATGGACTGTGCTGCCATGGATTCCCTCAGGATCAATGGAATCAGATAGCCTTTACTCTCACCAAGACACCAAATGGGATTCATGAAGGAAAAAAAGATAAGCTTCCATCCGTAACTGTTATTATGTCCTACTTGGTACAAACAGCAAGTGAATCACTTATTAACATGAATTTTTAAAACTTTTATGTGAAGATATTCTTTGACAGTTTCATACGTGTGTATGGTGTATTTCCATTACTGTCCCTAACCCTCTTGTTCTCCCGCCCTCCACTGTTCTCTCTCCTACGATTCTCTTTCAGGGTTTTAAGAATTCTCTTTCAAGTATTTTAACACATGGCCAGTTGGTGGCACTGTTTTGGGAAGGTTCCAAAAACCCTAGGAGATGCATCCTTGCTAGAGAAAAGCACATCATCACTTGGGGCTTTGAGAGTTCAAAGACACCCCCCATTTGCAGTCTGTCTCTGCATCCTGGGCGTGCTTGAAGATGCGAGCCCTCAGCTTTCTGCTTTGGCAGCCTCCTGCTGCCATACCTCCCCACCATGAGGGGCTCATCTCTCTGAAACCATAAACTCAATAAACACTTCCTTCTGTAAGTAGCCTTGGTCATGGTGTTTTATCACAGCAACAGAAAAGTAACTAGTATAGAAGTTGGTACCATAGTGGGGTGCTGCTGTGCAGAATGGGAACAGGTGGGTTTTGGGAGCAAATGTGGAAAATTTGGAAGTTTGGACTAAAAATGCTGTGAAATGTTGTAAGAAGAGCTTAATGGGCCTTTCTAGAAGAGGCCTGGCTCAAGACCTTCCAGAGGGAGATGGAAACAAGTCCTTAAACAGCAACTGGGATATTTTGGCAAAGAATCTGGTAGCCATCTGCTCAAGGCCTGGGAAGTCGCCAGAGGCTAAATTAAAAAGTAATGGACTGATTTCTTTGGTGGAGGAAATTGTAAGACAACCTAATATTTAATTGATGGTGTGGTTGTTAATGGAAAATATTATGCAGATCTACAATGAAAAAGAGCAAGTAGGGAAGAAAGAAATACAAAATGTACAGTGTGGATCGAAATAGATTACTATGAAGTTTAAAATGTTGAGCCAAGGCAACCTGGGTGTGTATCAGCAGAGAGGCTCTCTTTGATAAGGAAATTAGACGGCAAAGGAAAGGCCTCCAAATTTGCACTTGAACAATGGAAAGAGTGCCCTCAGGGCAAGACCCCACCCAGCTAAGCTTCCTTCTTGTGAAAGTAAAAGGCTTAAGTAGTTCTTTGCTCCTAGAAAACTACAATATACAAAAGTAACTGCTGCTAAGGAGAGCCAGGGTCCATCCCGGATGGGCAGCCTGTGTCCTTCACATGTGCTGGCTTTAGAAGCATGAAAGTTGAAAGAGTGAGGGGTCACCTGTTCTTTCTCCAGGGTTTCAGAAGGCTGCTGAGGCCAGGCAGTGTGTATCAGGGGGGTCCCTGAGAGGAAGGGTCTGGGAGCCCATTGTGTGAAGTTGTAAAGGTGAAACCTGGTTGGCTGTGGAGACCCAAGATGTTGGAGATGCCAGAGCTGTGAGACATCTGCCAAGAAGTATGTGCAGGGATTGATATGGAGAGACAGAGAGAGAGAGAGAGAGAGAGAGAGAGAGAGAAAGAGAGAGAGAGAGAGAGAGGAGGGGTGAGAGGAGAGAGAGAGGTATGAGGGGAGAGGGGCGAAGGGAGAGCGGAGAGAGAGAGAGGAGAGGGGAGAGGGGAGAGAGAGAGAGGGGATGGGAGAGGAGATAGGAGAGAGAGAGAGAGAGAGAGAGAGAGAGAGAGAGAGAGGGAGAGAGGAGACTAAAGGCAGTAAAGCTGGAGGGGCTGAGCCATCTAAATCTTTTAAAACTAAATCAGACATGGAGCTACAGGATTTTGTATATTCCCTGATGGCTTTTGATCTTGCTTTGGTCCAGTGTTTCTTTACTATGCCCCATTCCTCCCTTTTGGAGTGGGAATGTGTATTTCATTCTATTGTATGTTGAAAGTCTTTTGGTTTAACTGAGGCTAAGAGTACCTTGAGTCTCAGCAGAGACTTTGGACTTTTGAGTAGTGTTGAGACTGTTAAAGACTATTGGGACTTTTAATGTTGGACTAAATACACTTTGGATTATGACACGGCTGTGGGCTTGTGGGCGCCTGAGAGTGGAATGTGGTGGTTGAATGAGGTATCCCTGATAGGCTCAAGTATTTGAACACTTGGTTAGGTGGTGGCACTGTTCTGGGAAGGTCATGAAATCCCAAGGAGGTGTGGCCTTTCTGGAGGAAGCATATCACTGGAGGTGGGTTTTGAGAGTAGATAGCCACCTCCTTTTCAGGTTTGTCTCTTCCTGGGCATGCTTGAAGATGTGAGCCCTCAGCTTTCTACTCTGACTGCCTCTTGTCATGCCTTCCTGCCATGTTGGACTCTTGCCCCTCTGAAACTATAATCCCAATAAACCCTTCCTTCTATAAATTGCTTTGGTCCTGGTATTTTATCACAGCCACAGAAAAGGAACTAATACAACCAGGATGTTCTGTGTAACCATGGGTTTGGAACTGTCTGTTGGAGAATGGTGGGCTCCTCAGTGGGTACTCAGCTTAACCAGTAGTCACAATCACTGCTACTACAACAACCTGAGACATATCAGTATGCTGTGGTACCTTGTTTAAAGAAAACCTCTGCAATAGAGAATACTACTTTTAAATTTATTTTCTGGGCAATGCTATAAGGAATGCACACAGGAAGGAGTTGTGGCTTAATGACATATGATCAAATACTCACTTCGTGGTTCAGAGTTCTGAGTATTGTGGCCACCAATGTATGCACAGTCAGAACAATAGTGCAACCGATACAACTTGCTGGTCCCCAGCCACTCAGGCTTCTCTTAGCCTCATTTGTTTAATAACAAAGTGCACACAGACATACACAGCACACACGTCACCTTTATTTCTGCCAGCTTGTCTTTTGAGTTCCACATATACACCATGACACGTGCACATGGGCACACACACACACACACACACAACTAACTAAATAATAATTTTTTATGAAGCTATGAGCTAACTGTACTTGGTGATGCACTCCTGTAATCCCAATACTCAGGAGGCTGAGGCCAGGTTGGGCTACATAAGGAGACCCTGTCTAAAACAATAACAACAAAAAGCCATAGAATAAAACTGACCAGCATCAGCCTGTGGCAGGTGCAGCTGAATTAGCCTGTGTCCTGTGGGTGAAATTCCTGGTTTGGTAAAGAAGTACAATTATCTTGGATGCATCTTTCCTTCAACCAGCTTTCTGTTTCTGCAATGAGTTTTGGCCAGTGAATCCCAGAGGCCATCCCTCTTTCAACCAAATAAAACTCAGAGTAAGTTTCAAGACTAAGGTCTCAGTTATCAACAGAGGAATACAATGGAGCTGACATGAGCTGAGCAGAGCTGACAGGAATTATTATCTGATATGAGCTATACTCCTTTGGTTTACCACAGTCTGATGGTTGTTACATGTTAGTATGTGACCAGAGCAATTAGTCTCCAGGGTCTGGACTCCAAACCACTACATTTAATTGTTAGCTTTTTTTTTGAAGCAGGGTCTCCCAGTAGCCCCAGCTGTCCTGAAACTCACTATGTAGACCAGGCTGGCCTTGAACTCACAGAGATCCACCTTTCTCTGCCTCCCAAGTGCTGGGATTAAAAGCGTGCGCCACCACGCCCGGCTTTCTAGTTTTTAAAAATATTTTATTATTTTTATTTTATGTATTTGAGTGTATTGCCTGCATGTATCTGAGT